GTCCGTAGCAGGTCCTTACTGTTCTTCCTTCCTAGGGCTGTGATGAGGATGTGAATCCCCTGAGCACCTGTATACATGTTTGCATTATCTCTTAATAGTTACTGTTTTGGATAATCCATAAAGAAACCCTAGGACTAGTGATATTATTCCCACTTTACAGAAGAGGAAAGAAAGGTGCAGTGCCTTTGGGGACAATGCCACTGTTTGAGTACTGGTGAGTTCAGGCATAGAAGTTTGGGGAATCCAGAGAGGGACAGTGGGTGACTGTGTGTCCCGTGACACCTGCGAGATCCCCCTGCTTAGGAGACAGAGTCAATGTAGAACTTGGGGTGGGAGAACCGGTCTCAAAAAGCCAAGGCCAGGAGGCTGAACGGCCTGGCAGATAAAGTCCTTGAGCCTGAGCCAGATGGTAAGAGGTTCAAATCCCAGCTCTGCCACTGACCCACTTAGCAACCTTGACTGAGCATCACCACTCCAAGCCTCAGGTTCCCTCTCCATACAGAACAGAGACAACAGTCCCTGCGTCATAGGATCATTGTGAGAATGATTAAGTGAGGACTTTCTGAGGGGCGCCTAGCACGCTGCCTAACACAGCATCCATGTTTAGTGAACCTTGGCTGTTTTTACTGTTTGAGGGAATTTGTCTCCTGCAGGGTTCTTGCCTGATGGGGCGGCCAAACTTTTTGGTATTCCCTTCACACCTCTTCTGTCCTTCCTCGTTGACAGAAAGAACCTGGAAGGTAGAGAATGGTGCTGGTGAACGTTTCACCACGTTTCTTGACAGAAAGAACCTGGAAGGTAGAGAAGGTGCTGGCTTCTCCACCCGCAGGCAGCCCCAGGGGCTCCGGGAAGTGGGGACCCTGACTCACGTGCTGCAGCAGTGCCTCCTCCCCGACAGCCTTCATCAGGCCTTTGGTGTCCATGTGGCCCAGGCGCAAAATGTATAGCGGGCGGCCATCTGTACAAAGACAAGGGACGTTACTCAGGGGATGCTGGAAAGAGGGCAAGTCAAAGCCGCAGTGAGAACTTACCCTCCTCGGAGAAGGAGGGGTCAGGCTGCGGCTTACTGAGGCTCAGTCTGTCCATTATCTGCCATTACCCTGCCTCCTCCCAAGAGGGGCTGACACCACTCATGGTGAAAGAAACAACGGAAGTGTTAAAAAACACGGGTTTATCCCATGAAGGAAACTGAGTGAGGGGCATACGGGAATGCTCTGTATGTATGACCTTAGCAAGTTTTCTGAAAACCTAAAACTGTTCTAATATTACAAGTTGATTTTTATTTTTATTTTATTATATTATAGCTGAGCCATCCTGCCACCTGTTGGCAGCTCAGCTCGGACAGGGACTCGAACCGCTGTTGCTCAGAGCAAGCTCTTAACCAACTGAGCCACTCAGCCGGCCCTACAAGTTGATTTTTAAATGGTTTTTAAAAGAGGATTAAACCATGTAATGCAGAAGTGTGGAGAGAGTGGATCAACGTTGGCTCCTAGTTTTCTGTCAGCAAAAGCCAAACAGAAAAAGTAAGGGATTATGTACAAAGAAAGACAGGTGGTTCTTGGTATTTGCAGTGGCTCTATCAAGTCACCTTAGACACTGAATTAATGAATACTGAACCCCTGCTTCTGGGGGAAATATGGGGTTAGGTTCCTGCAAGCCACTAGTCGTACCATTTTTGTCAGCCAGTCAATACAGAACCTTGTTTTACATGTGTTGCTATTTAAGGACACCTCATTTAATGTATATTGTTGATTTATTAACATTGAACTCGGGGCCAGCAGCACTATAATGCGTGCCTAAAGGAAGCTGATCTAACACAGACGTTTTCTGTGTAAGGCACAACACAGCCTCCTGGCATGTAGGAACATTAGATGGCACCTCTGCACTATGCTTGGGGGGGGGCAGGGGGGGAGGGCGGCATTTTAAACTGCAAAATCACCAACAAAAAGCACAAAAAATGTGGCACCATGGAAACTGCCAAAGGGACACTTGTTTACAGTGTAGGAGCTGAAACTCATTCACCTCAGCGGGGAACAAACGTGCAGGTCGGGCAACTCAGGTTTTTTTGCCATTCTGCGCAGGTCCGTGAATGACCGCAGAAGCATCCTGAGTATCAATTTGGGGGCTATAAATAAATTTCAGTGAATAAGAAAATTCACAAATATGCAATGCATGAATAATGAGGGTCAACTGCGTAGTAAAAGCATCCCAACACTTCAGGAGAGTCAAGCGTTTGCCCTGATCAATATACAGTT